ATTAACATGAACATGAACATGAACATGAACATGAACATGAACATTAACATTAGCATGAACATGAACATTAACATTAACATTAACATTAACATTAACATTAACATTAACATTAACATGAACATTAACGTTAACATTAACATTAACATTAACATTAACGTTAACATTGACATTAACATTAACATTAACATTAACATTAACATTAACATTAACATGAACATTAACATTAACATTAACATTAACATGAACATTAACATCAACATTAACATGAACATTAACATGAACATGAACATTAACATTAACATTAGCAAGAACATTAACATTAACATTAACATTAACATTAACATTAACATTAACATTGACATTGACATTAACATGAACATTAACATTAACATTAACATTAACATTAACATTAACATTAACATTAACATGAACATGAACATTAACATTAACATTAACATTAACATGCACATTAACATTAACATTAACATTAACATGAACATTAACATTAACATTAACATTAACATTAACATTAACATTAACATTAACATGAACATGAACTTTAACATTAACATTAACATTAACATTAACATTAGCATTAGCATTAACATTAACATTAACATGAACATGAACATTAACATGAACATGAACATTAACATTAACATTAACATTAACATTAACATTAACATTAACATTAACATGAACATTAACATTAACATTAACATTAACATTAACATGAACATTAACATTAACATTAACATTAACATTAACATTAACATTAACATTAACATGAACATTAACATTAACATTAACATTAACATTAACATTAACATTAACATGAACATTAACATTAACATTAACATTAACATTAACATTAACATTAACATTAACATTAACATTAACATTAACATTAACATTAACATTAACATGAACATTAACATTAACATGAACATTAACATTAACATTAACATTAACATTAACATTAACATTAACATTAACATTAACGTGTTAACATTAACATTAACATTAACATGAACATCAACAACATTATCATTAACATTAGCATTAACATTAACATTAACATGAACATTAACATTAACATTAACATTAACATGAACATTAACATTAACATTAACATTAACAGCGTTAACGACTAACACCAGAACATTAACATTAACATTAACATTAACATTAACATTAACATTAACATTAACATGAACATTAACATTAACATTAACATTAACATTAACATGAACATTAGCATTAACATTAACATTAACTTGGAACATTAACATTAACATTAACATTGACATTTAACATTAGCATTAGCATTAACATTGACATTTAACATTAGCATTAGCATTCACATTGACATTTAACATTAGCATTAGCATTAACATTTACATTAACATTAACATTAGCATTAACATTAGCATTAACATTGACATTTAACATTAGCATTAGCATTAACATTGACATTTAACATTAGCATTAGCATTCACATTGACATTTAACATTAGCATTAGCATTAACATTTACATTAACATTAACATTAGCATTAACATTAGCATTAACATTGACATTTAACATTAGCATTAGCATTAACATTGACATTTAACATTAGCATTAGCATTCACATTGACATTTAACATTAGCATTAGCATTAACATTTACATTAACATTAACATTAGCATTAACATTAGCATTAACATTGACATTTAACATTAGCATTAGCATTAACATTGACATTTAACATTAGCATTAGCATTCACATTGACATTTAACATTAGCATTAGCATTAACATTAACATTAACATTAACATTAGCATTAACATTAACATTAACATTAACATTAGCATTAGCATTAACATTGACATTTAACATTAGCATTAGCATTAACATTGACATTTAACATTAGCATTAGCATTAACATTGACATTTAACAGTAGCATTAGCATTAACATTAACATTAACATTAACATTAGCATTAACATTTGCATTAACATTAACATTAACATTAACATTAACATTAACATGAACATGAACATTAACATTAACATTAACATGAACATTAACATTAACATGTACATTAACATTAACATTAGCATTAACATTGACATTTAACATTAGCATTAGCATTAACATTGACATTTAACATTAGCATTAGCATTAACATTGACATTTAACATTAGCATTAGCATTAACATTGACATTTAACATTAGCATTAGCATTAACATTAACATTAACATTAACATTAGCATTAACATTAACATTAACATTTACATTAACATTAACATTAGCATTCACATTGACATTTAAAATTAGCATTAGCATTAACATTGACATTTAACATTAGCATTAGCATTAACATTGACATTTAACATTAGCATTAGCATTAACATTGACATTTAACATTAGCATTAGCATTAACATTGACATTTAACATTAGCATTAGCATTAACATTAACATTAACATTAGCATTAACATTAACATTAACATTAACATTAACATTAACATTAACATTAACATTAACATTGGCATTAACATTGACATTTAACATTAGCATTAGCATTAACATTAACATTAACATTAACATTAACACTAACACGAACACGAACACGAACACTAACACTAACACTAACACTAACACTAACACTAACACTAACACTAACACTAACACTAACAGTAACACTAACAGTAACACTAACACTAACACTAACACTAACACTAACACTAACACTAACACCAACACTAACACTAACACTAACACTAACACGAACAGTAACATTGACATTGACATTGACATTGACATTGACATTGACATTGACATTGACATTGACATTGACATTAGCATTAGCATTAGCATTAGCATTAGCATTTGCATTAGCATTAGCATTAGCATTAGCATTAGCATTAGCATTAGCATTAGCATTAGCATTAACATTAACATTAACATTAACATTAACATTAACATTAACATTAACATTCCATTACATTACACTACATTACATTACATCACATTCCAGTCCACTCCATTACATTACATTACATTACATTCCATTACATTATTCCATTCCATTCCATTCCATTCCATTCTTGTCCATTCCATTCCATTCCATTCAATTACATTACATTACATTGCATTACATTACATTACATTAAATTGCATTACATTACATTACATTACGTTACATTACACTACATTACATTACTTTAACATTAACATTAACATTAACATTAACATTAACATTAACATGAACATTACATTACAATACATTACATTACATTACATTACACTACATTACATTACATTACATTTACATTACATTTACATTACATTACATTACATTACATTACATTGCATTACATTACATTACTCCATTCCATTCCATTCCATTCCATTCTTTTCCATTCCATTCCAGTACATTACATTACATTCCATTCCATTCCATTACATTACATTACATTACATTCCATTCCATTACATTACATTACATTACATTCCATTCCATTCCATTCCAGTCCATTCCATTACATTACATTACATTCCATTCCATTCCATTCCATTACATTACATTCCATTCCATTCCAT